CTATCGTATATATACATTCTTGTCGCCTTCCCTTGCGATTTACGTAGTAGCGCAGACTTAGCATTTTACCGTATCCCAATATTTTCGCAGTATTCTATCAGTATTTTACATTTGCATAGGTAAGGAAAACGATTATATCTTGCACTTGAAGAAACTTCCTCAAATGAATTTTCTGTTATGTGAAGAAGAAGGTTAAGCAGTAACAACGATAAAAAACGTAGCTATTTGATCTGTTTGAAGGGAAGTTAGTGAGGTATGGCACCACCCCTAAAAGCTGTAGCAGCCACAGTTTTTTAGGGGTAGCGCCACACCCCATTAACTGTATCAAAAAACACTTTTAGCGAACGTTATTTACAAGAATCGATAGCCTAGACATCGTAGATATCAAGGAAGTGATTTGAGCCTGTCGTCCTCTTAGCTCTGAGTAATATTTGTTGAAAGCACAGCCATTAAATGCGAAAAACAGGAAAAAACAAGATTTTAGTTGGCTTCTAACCAAAGTTGGGAGGTCTTTTGAAGCAAGAGTTCTGAAGTGGCCAAAGAAGGAGTAGTGCTTTGTCTTGAGTGCAAAAACAGCTAGTTACTTCACCTTTGATATAGTTAATCATGCTGGAAAATGGAGATTTCACTTAGTGACCTAGTATCTTGAAACTTCAGAGTTCGCTCAAATATTATATATAGGGGTTAATTGACATGCTAATTATGGATATGTTGCCCGTTATGTTTGACAGGGCCTTCAAGTAATGCTATCTTAGGTATGTAGTTCAGGGGTCATATTGAGACAGCAATAAGAGGGGGGGGGGGGGGCTCGTAAACAGCGATCGTGTGCCACACCTCTTGCTTGACTCTGGTCACACCGGGTCTGTCCCTGTTCACTAAACTTGCTAAGATATTGCCTCACTATGTCTTAATCAGATGCTCACTTACCCTTTGATGCTCTCACCGCCTCATCTCACAGTCAACAAATCGGTAAATTCAGATAAGTGTCGTTGAAGGCAGCGTCCGAGCGGATACGAAATTGTAGCGTGCAGGGGCTTCCGTTTGATAAAGCTCTTGCTCAATACCACTGCACCAAATTGCTTCTGAGGCGGGAAAACAGCTTTAGAAGTGGCGACCGTAACGCCCCTGACCTGCCCGCTCCTTAATCGATGGCCAGAGTTCGTATGTCGCACACAGTCAAAACGTAGGGTCTCACCACGACTCTGCGTCTTAACCTTGGCGGCAAGCGTCCGTATTCAGAATCAACAACTTCTGAATTAGCCTGTTTTCGACATGTTCGTACTCCGCAAGCTGCATTTTCGGAATCATCGAGAAGAATGAGCCCATGTAAACGAAAAAAATTTTGTTCGAAATTTTGCCTAGGCGCTGCCTTCAATTCTGTAGATGAGTAATTTGTTTGTAATGAGCATGCTCACTTACCCGATTTGCCATCCCAGCCTCCAGATCAAGTCTGCAAAGTTTGATTATTACTATCGGTCGATAACGAAAAGTAGTGTAACGTTTCAAGGTGTGTGCGTACAAAGGGTCCGGATCGTTTCAGAAAGTAATGTATCCCGCACGTACCACGCAGCGACAAACAGCTTCAGCTCTATCGAGCTTTATCACACAATATGCCTATTGCACACTGTGCGCCCTACTTGACGAACTCATGAGATTAAAATCTGACAGATTCCAGTGATTACTCCTTGTATTCTTGCTTTTATTAGATGTATACTAACTAGTAGTTCAATTAGTTTAGTCCTTCTTATAATGCTAGAGGGCTTTCCGGCAGTCTTGTGTTCAGCTTCACACACTGAGATATCGCGAGGCAGCAACTTCGAACTCGTTTTTCTTGCGAGCGGCCAGCAAAATTTTGAGGGGTGGTCAAACACCGAACGGTATCTCCTTCGCTGTCGCGTGTTTCGCCAGCGCGGCAAAACAGAATTTTTTGCGAGCGAATATTTTTTTTCAGCAAGCGAGGAAACTTTCAGCGAGAGCTCTGACTTTTGTTGCGCAGTTCGGGTGTATGCCGAGCATGCAGTGTCCGAAAACGTGTAAAACGCAGTTGACTGCGCCTTGCTTCAATTTCAACGCGCGGGGTGTTAGAAGGCTTTCTATAAGCGCTATTTACGGCGCTCGACCGCATTCACGCGTCCTTGCATAGTCTGCCGCAGGACGGAAAAGGGCCTCGGTTAAGCTTGGTTCACAAGCGTTGTTCACATGGACCCTAGCCTACAAAAATAAGCAGGCGACTCTTCAACTTGGGTGATGCGGGCAAAATTGCGAAATTGCGCTGCTTAGCTATTTTCTTACCATAATTTTAGTGCGAAATAATTAGCCTATGAGAGCTTGCTATCTACAGGAAGCACTGAGTTGCGCCCTTACAAATATCCGTCCGCAGAACGAAGTTGGAGATCTCTCATACAAACGACTTAGCTCAAAAAGATAGTATAGCTTGCCGATCGCAGTACTAATGCCAAATCCGCTTTTTAAGGAGCTACTGTTGACGCAAATAAATGGCTTGTAGACGTTGCATATTTCCAGATTTAACAGTCTTTCTCTGTGAGCAAGTATAGCCTCTGGATAGTTTTTTGTCGAGGATGTTACAAAGGCGCAGCAAAGAACTCCTAGAAGTTTATTATGTACAATGTGCGCTGCGTTATACTATCACAAACACATATCCACCTTGAGAATTTATGTTTATCATAGGTATCCTATGTGCCCCAAAAAAGTTCCCATGTGAACCAGCGTGCGTACGTGGTGCGACGCTGCCTTTCGCTCTTTTTAACACGCCTTCTCCTGAGTTTTTAACAGAATTGCCCGGAATTAACACGTTTAAAAGGGCGAAAGCCAGCGAAATGGCGTGGTACCTATGGGAATCTCGCTGGGGAACAAACGATAAATCACGTCAGTGCCACCTGTCAACCTCAACTGCGCACTTACGTATGACGTCACGGTTAAAATCAACCATAGTTCTATTGACGAGCAAAAGGAATCAACCTGGACAACGTTTCAGACCCATCCGAGTAGACTGACCTTACATCGAAGACGTATCGTATCCCTGCAAAGTCACTACGAGCTAATTTGTGTATGACTAGTTGGCGGTACACGGCGCGCTCGGACTGTGGGCCTAAACACCTGATGCTCGAAGGGTACAAAAGCGTTTCCAAAGCGTCCAACATACCCTACCTGAGTTTTTTGTTCTTTTACTCTTCTTCACCCTTCGGCAAGTTCTTCCTTTCTTCTTTCTTGTATCCACTTCTACCTCGCCGCTTACCGTTCCTCTGGCTCCTGCGTTGACTTGTCCTTCATACTGGCTGCATTTTTGTAACACCGCATCCTCCTCACCGTCGAATGAAAATGAGCTTTTTACCACCCGTGTTTACACAAATATCGGAGGATTCTTAGTCAGTACATGATGAGATTCCATTTTCATAGATGTGAGTAAATAGGTCAATGAATCGATAAAAGAACCCAGCGAGTTCCAGTGAAAAGTAGCCTAAAACCGTCTCCGGGGTCGAAAGCATCTGTGTGCAAACTTTTAGCCCAATCGCTTAAGCAACGCGCGTTTCTATAACGCACATACTCTCCAAACAAATAATTTTTGAGTTATATATATAGATGTATAGTCATATCGAAATGGGTAACATACCTAAGCAGGATGGAAAGATACGTCAATCTGCTATACTACCGTACATCTTCCGCACTCATACGTCTCCATTATCGAAAGAGTAAGTTTATAATTACTAACGCATTTGATAGCCCACTTAAAATTCCACAAACATATGATATAAAAACGAACCCCTCCTCGTATTTTGAACTTATCTCTATTGTAATCAGTTAGACGATTGTGTACTTCCATACCCTTACTCTCAACAAATTAGAAGATGCGCTTTGCCGTTGAGTTGAATGATCTCTTGGAAACAAAGTTTGTACACTTCAGAACGATATACGACTAGGCTACGGTGATGAGACCTGAACCAGGCGCACGTCACCTAACTAAGTCAACCGTACACTAAAAAACCGGGCATACACCACGCAATTTCGTTTTTTTTGTTTTGAGGGTGGAATAAGTTATGGATGGAAGAGAGTGGAATAAGTGTTTTGAGGGTGGAATAGGTTTGGCGTTTTAGTCACCGCTTCAGTATGAAAGTAAAGCTGCGAAAAAATATATGTTCGGCATACTCTGCAATAATTGGCGTTGCTTTTCTGAAAATCGGGGATGGAACTGAGATTGCAGGAATTGGGTTGATTTTCGCCCTCTAGAGGAATGGAAGAGTGATCCTGATGAAATAGTTCGGCTGTTTACTGATGCTTATTCGCCCGTCAACTTCGTTTCTCCTCGCGATTCTCTTAACGAGATAATTGTTACGATTCTATTGCATGCCGATCATCTTGCATATGGGTTGTCATAGTTTTCAAATTCGACTAATCGCGAACTATCATAATCGAGATACAAGATGATTGGCATGCAGTGGTAACAGTTGTCTTGATCGGAGAATCACAGGACAATGAAATCCTGTGATGTACGCCCCGCCTTTAAAAGGTTTCACAAATCACGAGCGATAGTTAGTGAAATGTTAAAGCGCTGATTCCATATCGGCTTTCCCTATCTGCGGAACTCTCCCCCCCCCCCCCCCCGAAAAGAAGTTATGAGCATTTTTTCATATGGAAAAATAAACTATAAGGCGAAGTAAAATCAATCTCTCTAACTTTATAGATCTTTAGTGAAGCATTGGCAAGTGTTAGTATGTTCTATGCAATAATTTCCTTCTATCCACTACATCGATGTTCTTATACTCCCTTTGACGTCCAAAAAGACTGTAACGATTACCTCAGCCATAAGTTTCTTTGAAAAAGAAAATGCTCATAAGCTCTATCTTAATGGTGCCCTGCAAAGAAAAAAGATTCGAAAGCAGCTTTTCGTACCCTCGTTGAAGGTATAGTTTGTGATGATCGTCCGCATCGTTTCACGCCGCTCAATTGTAAAATAATGGATTCGTGCATACAGCACTTTTTAGAGATGGTCCGGGGAGGCGTTCCGCGAGTTTATACTGGCCATATGGCGAGGTTCCGTTTCCTACAAATCCATCAAGGCCTTCCATATACAGGTAAGGAAAGACCAAAAAAATTAGTTGCTGTTTTTATTTAGAGAAATATTGTCTTTCTTGCACTGGCTTGCGCGAAATTTTTTCCATGAAACAATAAGAACGCAGTTCTCAACATTGTGCTTGTCTTGATGTAAAAAATAGTTTGAAGCTTTTCACCTCTCTCAATTCCAATGAAACATTAGTTTTAGCTAACAATCCGCGTTCATTCGCTACCTTCGCTACCCACTATCAGAGGTGCGTTGGGGGGAGCCGGGCCTACCAAAAGTGAAGGTGATCCCAGCTACTACTGGTCGGCCAAAAGTGAAGGTGGTAGTGCCCCACAGTCACCTCCCAAAAACGTCGACGCGGGGGAGGGGGGGGGGAGGAGCATTAACGTTTATCCTTCTAAGTCGTTGCTGCCAGTGCGCGGAAAATAAGCAAAACAAATACAAAAGAGATCATTGAAAGCATATTTTTATGTATACAGCAGCATAAATATCATAACTTATAATAACGAGCTAAGGGTGTTTACGCGCGTGTGTGTGTGTGTGTGTGTGTGTGTGTGTGTGTGTGTGTGTGTGTGTGTGTGTGTGTGTGTGTGTGTGTGTGTGTGTGTGTGTGTGTGTGTGTGTGTGTGTGTGTGTGTGTGTGTGTGTGTGTGTGTGTGTGTGTGTGTGTGTGTGTGTGTGTGTGTGTGTGTGTGTGTGTGTGTGTGTGTGTGTGTGTGTGTGTGTGTGTGTGTGTGTGTGTGTGTGTGTGTGTGTGTGTGTGTGTGTGTGTGTGTGTGTGTGTGTGTGTGTGTGTGTGTGTGTGTGTGTGTGTGTGTGTGTGTGTGTGTGTGTGTGTGTGTGTGTGTGTGTGTGTGTGTGTGTGTGTGTGTGTGTGTGTGTGTGTGTGTGTGTGTGTGTGTGTGTGTGTGTGTGTGTGTGTGTGTGTGTGTGTGTGTGTGTGTGTGTGTGTGTGTGTGTGTGTGTGTGTGTGTGTGTGTGTGTGTGAGAGTCTGTCTGTCTCTCACGAAATTCGTGTGTGTGTGTGTGAGAGTCTGTCTGTCTCTCACGAAATTCGTGTGTGTGTGTGTGAGAGTCTGTCTGTCTCTCACGAAATTCGTGTTTGTGTGTGTGTGTGAGTCTGTCTGTCTCTCACGAAATTCGTGTGTGTGTGTGTGTGTGTGAGAGTCTGTCTGTCTCTCACGAAATTCGTGTTTGTGTGTGTGTGTGAGTCTGTCTGTCTCTCACGAAATTCGTAGAACGTGTTCCAGCCAACCTCCTGAGCCCAAATTTTGCACAGCGCATGCCACCGACATAAGAGTCCACTACACAAAAGCGCGAACGAATTCGTTGTGTGGGCCCCTCAAAAAATGCGCGGCAATCGGATCCACTTGGCTTTTGGCTCATAAAAGAGCCAGTAGCACAACTATTGAGCTCATGAGCCAGTAGCACAACTATTTTGCAAAATTGCGGATATGTTTGGACAAGTTGATGTGCAAGCCAGGGACTTTAGCCAAAAAAATCAAACTAAAGTTCACATTCACGCAACCAATCCTTTTTGGCGTTCGTTTTCGCAAACTAAAGTTTGCGAAAACGACGCCAAAAAGGATTGGTTGCGTGAATGTTCGATTTGCAATGATTTTATCCCATCATTTGAGAAGATTTTTGCACAGAGATGTAGCCCACGGTGATTATTGTATCTTATGGCGAAAAACAAGCCATGAAAAGTCCAGAAACCAATTCAAATTTGCATTTGTTCTTTTGGGAAAAGTTTCATTCACGCGAAGTAACCGATCTAATATGGAAAAACTTTTGGAATTAATGTTCTTTACAAATCATTCGTGAAAGTCCGCATAGCGCGGTGAGTTTCAATGTCATTATTGTGCGGGAATGAGTAAGGCGTACAGGTAGTAAGGCCATTGCGAGCCTCAGCGAAGCAGAAGTGACGCACTGGTCTAAAATAAACGTGCTTATCAAATGGTGTATTTGGAAGTAAAACTCAGCGGAACTGTACGTATTTTATCAAGTAGATTTTGTCATAACGTACAGCGAAGAAAGTAGATCGATCCACGGAGTAACCGCCAAGAACCAGAATTTTGAATAATTAAATGGTGAAAAATCATGCAAAATTTGCACTGTTATAAATCTGATGTATGAAGATGTCAGAAATTGCTACGTTAAAGATTTCGAAGAGTAAGTGGTGCTTTATCAGATGGTGGAAGAATCAAATCTAAATTGAGAGATAGTCTCCGAAAACCAAACTTCTAAAAAATCACGCATTTAGCGTGTTCAGTGACAGGTGACAGTTAAACTCATATAAATCTTGAATGTGAAAATGCGTGATGTTAGGACTTCAAAAGTTTTGTAGAGTAAGCCCTGCTTTACCAGAATATATCTTAGCCGTACCGATCCATCGAAACAGCGACGAGATCCAGGGCTTTGAAAAAGCAGGTAAAAAGCGCTTTTTGAATTTTAACAGCTTATAACTTCTTAAGAACTGCATGAATCATGTTGCGACTTCATAGGTTAGATTCTTCTCATCAAGAGCTTTTAGATGATATGTAATATTGTGAGGGTTCAGGACTTCCTTACGACTTATGCCCGTGAGGGGGTAGACCTTTCATCACAAATTTTCCCTCCTGCCCACTCCAGTGTACTGGGTGAAGGCCACCAGTGGAGATTTTGTGATGAAAAGCCTTTCCCCACGGGCATAAGTCGTAGGAGGACCTAAACCCCCACATAAAATATATCTGAAGGCTCTTGATGAAAGAATCTAATCTATGAAGTTGCAACATGATTCATGCAGTTCTTAAGAAGTTATGAGCTGTTAAAATTCAAAAAGCGCTTTTTTACCTGCTTTTTAAAAACCCTGGACCTCGGCGCTGTTTCAATGGATCGGTACGGCTAAGATATCTCTATATACAGGGTGTCCCAAAAGTAAGTACACACTTTTCAATCGTCAATATCTCTCTTCCTCGTGTGACTTTTTCCACCATTCAAGTACCATTGTGTAGAGGAACAACTTAGACCTTCAACTTAGATTTATGAAATTGAGCGAATCACCGACCTCTCTTCATTACTGCAGGATTACTGTAGGAACTCTCGGCAAGGATTTTAGGCCATTGAGAGCCATATTCTGCCTCGGAACAAGACTAAACAGGCCAAAAACTCTTATACTATGGTAGTGGAAGCCGCTGATTTCAAATATGAAATTCACTTTTCTGTGACGCTTTTTTTCATAGTTATCCCAGGTAAACCGTAATAACCGATTTCCTAGTATTTGTCAGAGTTGTGATTACACCGTCAAAAAAGCTGAAAACACTCGTAAAAAGTTGTGTAGTGGAATCAGAGTGTGCGAAAATTCCAGGATGCGATTTTTCAAATTTTTTGAAAATTTTCGTCAGATGGCGTATCTCACAATAGTTTCATATGCTGGAAGTTCTTACCGTAATCCTACAGTAACAACGAGCAATCGGTGATTCGAAAGATACTGTAAATCTAACAATAATATTAATAGTAATAGATAATGTTCATAATTATAAAATTATAGCCTAAGAACTCCGTTTCGTTCCTATCCTTAGACGGATTATTGTCTTGTTTCTAGGCCATCCCCGGAACTCTTCAGTAAGGAAGGATGGCAAAATTTAAGAATAACTCATTTTTCTATATGAATTGTTAATAGAATTTATGATTTAAACTTTTATTCTCAGATTTTTATTCTCAAATTTTGATTTCTAATAATTTTTGAGGTGTTTAAATAGGTTATTCCCAAGTGTTTTGTAAAAGAGATAGTTTTTATTGATTTTTGATTAATTTTTGGATTTAACAGCTTATCTGAGTCCGTTTAATTGTCAAAGTTGTCCTCTTCTTGAATTTCTTTTGTTTCGTCTGTTATGGTCTCCACGTCGAAGTTTCTTCTTTCTGGATTCAATCTTCTTGATGCAGGGTAGTTCCTCGTGGTTTTGATCCGTAAATGAATATCCCCAGACATGTCGAACTTGTTATTGAATGAATCATTTATGATCATTATCGAAGGGGTATCAATTTATCTCGGTATATAGAAATGAGCGGTGTATGGTAAGTGTTTACTGCTGTAGACCATTCAGCAGAGGTCAAGGGATCCGGTGCATTCAACCTCCACGCGGGCATGTGCCGAATGTGCACCACCCCACACCAGAAAGGACATGTATGTGCGTAATTCCCCAGAACCACCAGGGCTAGTAAAGCCAGTGCCTCCATCCTCATAGACCATCCCACCAATTCACCAGAGAGCAGTGGGCCCTGCTGGCTTAGGGGCAGGATCGAACCTGGGTCCGACCAGGTCATAGCGGTGCATCGCACACACCATAAACCTTCCCCATAGACCATCCTGAAACAATCATCACTGTAGGTCCACCATGTCACAGTCAATACGTAGTAGTTCGTTGTTGTTGAAATCTATTGTTTATCGACCACCCAAGTCTTTATGTTACTTTCATCATGTTCGACAATCCAACTGGCGTTATCTCTATGTAGATGACCTCGACTATATGTGATGCTGTTGTTTGTCAGAAATGAGCTCCAAGCCATCCTGGCTCAAAACATTGATACAAAAGGGTCCGAGTACTTAGTCCTGGTGTTGGTCTGATCATTATCACATCGTTAGCGGTTGTCTCGTATTATTCGGTGTAGTATCAACAGATAGACATTGTTCACCTCCACTCTTCAATTGAGAGTTGCATTATATCACCAACAGTGAATCTTCCATGTGTTCCACAATTTGGGTAAGGTGTTGTTGTACAACTGCCGATTTCTAATGTGAGACCTCACATGGTAGGTGGTCTTTGTCGACTTGATTGGTGAAAAATGTTGGGTTTCTTTGATGTAGAATATTATCTCATTGTCCTAGTACTCCAGGAGGTACAGAGATTTAGTGTGACGTGCACAAATTGCCTCAACGAGTGGTGTGAGTCTCAACGTGCGATACCAGATGGTGTATGGTATTACCACTGCTATCCCGCAACACTAGTGTTCCACCAACCCTTTCTAAGGTCC